CTTTTGTTAATAAATCATCAAGTTAATTAACAGTTTTTAATAATATTATAAATATATTTCAATTAATAATTTAGGTAATTTTATTATTGTTTTCTTTTTTGTGTATTAATTTTTTTTTAGTTAATTTGGGGTTTTTTTAATTTTTTTTTTTTTTTTTTTTGACTTAAAACATATGAATATATTATACTAAATTATAATAGGAGAGGACCTTTTTTTTTTGTCTATTTTGAGGGGTCCTAAGCCATGGCCTGATGGGTCTATGCCCAGGACCAGCATTGAGTGCAATCACATGATTAGAACTTGGAAAACTGACCCTAATGTAATCCATGGTTGTATTCTACATTTAAATTTTTTCGACACTGTAACCATTATCAACCACGATCAAAGGTCGTGGTTGAAGGTGATTGACAATAGTAGTCAGAGATTGGTATTGATTGGTATTGATTGGATGTAGTAGTCAGAGATTGGTATTGATTGGATGTAGTTGTTGGTGGTGAAGCCGGTGAGTAGTGTTTAGTGACTGAAGATGGTAAAAATAATGTTTTCATAGCAAGTAAAAATAAATTATTATTTTTACAAGATTTTAGTAAATATTATAATTTTTTTTAATAGTTTTAATAACAAGAATAAATACATAAATTGACCCTTTAATAATAGTTTATGTTAGTCTTTATTTTTTAAACTTATTTTACACACAAACTGAGACACATATCTTTTTATTTATTTTCATTTCATTTAACAGTAATAATTTAGAATTTTAAATAATGTGCTCTAAATCTACCACTAGTGAGGTGAAAAATGAAAAAAATAAAAACAAAAATAAAAACAAAAAAAAACAAGACACAACACACTGTGGCATGGCAGTGGGTGGGACCCACTGTCACATCATTAGTGGAAGCACTAATTGGTGCTCTCAAATATTATTGTTCATTTAAATGATGTTTATGTTAGTCGTTAGAGTTTTTCATTGAGACTTCGCTTGAGTTATGGGTTGATTTTTAACTATTTTAATTTGTAATTAAAAAGTTTCATTTAGGATAGGCTTTTTAACTTTTTGACTTTTATAAGAGAGAAAAAATAAAATAATTATGGTTTGAATGTGGTATATTGTCTTATTGACTTTTTAACTTATTTTGTCTTTTTGTAACTATTTTAGCCAAAAAAACCACAAACTTCTTTATGCCAGACAAAACATGTTGCATGCAGTTTATTAGCGTATTTTTCATTAAAAAAAATGCTAACAATTATAAACAATTGAATCAAATTAAGATAAAATAAAAAATTTAGAGTCACAATTGAACCACCTAAAATTAGAAATCAAAATTACACACAAAACTAAAGTACACCGATAAAATTTGTCAAAACAACAATGGTGGGAGAGCAAACCCGAACCGAATAATGAAATTTGAAAAGGTTGTGACGTGATCAAGATCCGAACGCGAGTTGCGCCTCTTACGGGTCTGGACCCGTAAGTTTGGTCGGGTGAACACAAACCGCTCCATATAAGTTTGAACATCAAGCCGAGGGGGAGCTACTGTTCACAGTCAAAGCACACTTTCACTCACCGGCGGCGGCGGCTGCTCTTCCTTCCCATTTTCAGGTGAAAGAGACGTCACACCCCCCCTCTCTCTCTCTCTCTCTCTCTCTACATGTTTCTATAAGATTTGGGCGGATTTAAGAACAGTGATTAGTGATCTAAGGTCGTCAATAGGTAATTAGTATTGGATCTTACTATCTTAGCCTCTATAAATCGCACAATAAACTTTAACAAACAATGATTGAATTCATTCACCACTAATCTATCGGTACAAAGATTTCGGTTTTAATTTGTTTTTCTATTTCTTTTCCAAGCAATGAACTGCTTAAAAAGTTACCATGTCAGCTCCATGGAGTTAATTGAGTAGGGAATTTGGCTGTTTGTTGGGATTTAAACAGAGGGTTTGCTGACTCTGATTGCAGATCATCTCAGTTGAATCTTGACCTTTGAGGTCAGTTTGAGAATTGAATTGCAATGGCTGTGTAAGTTTCATTTGATAAATTTCAGGACTTTCTTTAATTTCTTATTTTCATTCTTCATTCACAGATGTATTTACAAATAGATGTTTGCATTTATGTGTAGCTTAAATTTTTGTAGCAAAATTGGGTTGGCTAAAAGATGAGTGGATTGTGTTGATGTTCACAGAGTTGCTTCTGCTCCTGGAAAGGTCTTGATGACTGGGGGCTATCTTGTTTTGGAGAGGCCCAATGCGGGGATTGTACTCAGTACGAATGCTCGGTTCTATGCAATTGTGAAACCATTTTATGAGGAAATTAAACCCGACAGCTGGGCATGGGTGTGTGGTTCATTCTTTGGAATTTATTTTTGTCAGACTTAATTGTTGGTTTGCATGAAGAAATTGTTGCTTTGTTAGCTCCATAGAGAAAAATGTTGTTATTAAAGCATAATGCCATTTTTTTGGTTCAATATTTGTAATATTGTCTTCATGGCCTTTTTGGCACGGACAGATGTGAAATTAACTTCTTTTGATCTCCTCGAATGTGAAGAGAAACTACATACAAAATGTCACCAAAACATTTAAAGCTTTAGTTTAATAGATACCATTTTAGTGTTTGTTAAATTATTTTTTTTCCTTAGTAGCTCCATAGAGGAGTATTTTTATTGTGATATTCTTTGTTTTACCATTATGAAATGCCATATTTTAGTGCTCAATATTTGTGATACTAATTGTTTTCTTCATGCTCTTTCAGGCATGGACAGATGTGAAATTAACTTCCCCACAGATGTCAAGAGAAACTACTTACAAAATGTCGCTAAAACATTTAGCACTTCAGTGCATCTCTTCGAGGTAAGTTTGTATTCGTTGTGTTATCCTTGTATATATTTAATTCTCATCAAATGTTTCCATTTATCCTTATATGTTTTTCATTCATTAATGCATTCATGGCACTGAACAAGGTCTGAAGAAGAATTATTCTTAGTGATTTCTCTTACCGTAATAAATAAATGCAAATAACGGGGAAACTAAATGGTATATTGGCTCGTGGAGGTGATGCTTATCGCTGTTGGCTTAAAATCTCAGTGAATCAAGGAACCCCTTTGTAGAATATGCAGTGCAATATGCTGTTGCAGCAGCCCTTGCAACATTGGAAAAGGATAAGAAGGATTTGTTACACAAACTACTTTTGCAAGGTAATGTTTGATGCCTCATCTTTCTTATTAAAATAAAGTAATTATTAATATCTAATGTCTTAACTGAATTATTGATGCAGGTCTTGATATTACAATCTTAGGTTGCAATGATTTCTATTCATATCGGAATCAGGTACTCTACCTTTCCAATTGTAATTTTAAAATCTTTAACTTATTTGACCACTAGAGGTGTACTTATTTGCTCGTATTCTTCCTCCTTTATTGCATTATAGCTTCAGCAAGCATCCTACCATGGTTTTTGAAATATTTGGTTTGTTGTTTCTGGCATTCGGTTGATGACAATAGCAACAAGTAGAATTTTCTTATATATTACAACAATTATTGTACAGAAACCTTTAGACCCCGTTTGTTTGAGGTTATAGGGAGGGGATTGAGTTTGGCAGTGAGGAGGGGATTGAGAATGTGGTGTTTGTTTTGGGAGATAAGGAGGGAATTAGTAATCCCTTGGTATTAGTAAGGAGGAGGAAGGGGGATTGGTAAAGAGGAGGAAGGGGGATTGGTAAGGAGGAGGTAGAGATAGTATTAGAAAAATAGTGAGGGGATTAGAAATTTTTTTATTTTTTATATATTGGGAATTTTTTTTTTAAATATAATGTTTAATTTTTTATATTTTTTTATTTGTTTTATTATTTTATATAAAAATAATTTAACAATTCCTCACTATCAATCCCCTCACTATCAATCCCCTCCATTTTATCTCTGAAAACAAACGGGGCCTTAAGCATTTGCTTGCCAATGATTAGATCTACAAAAACAAACGGGGCCTTAAGCATTTGCTTGCCAATGATTAGATCTACAACTCTGAAATCTGCTTTATGGGTTTTGTATCAAAATTTTACTCCAATTGAAGCTTCCTACTATAATGATTACGTTTTTGAGCTAATTAGTTTCATGATGAAAGTGAGGTCTGAGTGGGGTCGATGGTGTGAGATTGGAAATAGAATGAATTTTATGTGGAGGAAGAAAAGAGAAAACACAATATTCTACTCGGGTGAATCGCAAATAAGTATGAAGTTAGTTTGTCTCTCCTTGGTGTGTGTGTGTGTGTTTTTTTTTTTTTTGTTCATAGCATAACACATCAAAGAGGGTACTATCCATGCCACAAGGGAGATGGATTGTTTTACTATTAATATTAGGCTAGATAGATATGTTCCCATCCTCGTGCTTGCGGAGGGACAAGGTTGTCTTCAAGCCTATGGAGTGCCCTTTATGAATGTAGTGATCAATCTGCAAAATCATCTAATTGAAGACCCAAATGATATGACCATAAATCTATGTGCAAGAAATGAAGGAAGCTGCAGTACGTTTGTCTCAAAATGAATTTAATGCTGTTGACTCTGACCTGGCAACCCACCAATTCCCAACACTAATGAAAAAAATAAAAATACTCAATAAATCTATCAGCTGTGTTTTTTGTTTTGCATTACATCTTTGGAAACTAGCTAGCACGGTTTGTAACGCAAAATCAATTTGAGGTTTTTGACGTCGTTACTCAAGAGAATGATGAAAGAAAGAAAGAAAGAAAGAATGAGAGGAAGATAAGAAATAAATAAAAATACAGAATACCGGATGGTCTCAGATATCTCAAAATGGCTAAAAATCATAACAAGGGAATGTCCCGTGTCATATCAATTGGAAGAACTGTATATAAATACACTTGTGTGTGATGAAGCACATATGGAAGTATTTATTCTTTTGCTTCACGAAAGTTCAAATGGTTTATAAACATGTCATACTGAATGAAAGTTCCCATTTATGATCACAGTGGATTTTCAAGCCCCAGAATATGTTTCATCTGAATTCTTCGTCACCTGATGATTACAAACCCAGATTTCAATGTGTGGGCCTTTGTTCTTTCATCTTTGTAGATTGAAGCACTTGGACTCCCTTTGACACCAGAATCTTTAGCTTCCCTTCCGCCATTTACATCAATTACTTTTAACATTGAAGAAGCAAATGGAGGAAATCGCAAGCCTGAAGTTGCAAAAACTGGATTGGGATCATCTGCAGCTATGACAACTGCAGTGGTTGCTGCTTTACTTCATTACCTTGGAGTTGTTAATCTTTCCTCCTTGTCTGAAGATCAACACCAGGAAAAAGAGAATACTATGGATCTTGATGTGGTGCATGTGATAGCTCAAACTGCTCACTGTATTGCACAAGGGAAAGTTGGCAGTGGGTTTGATGTTAGTTCTGCAGTTTATGGTAGTCAACGATATGTTCGCTTTTCACCAGAAGTGCTTTCTTTTGCTCAGGTCTCTCTCTCTCTCTCTCTCTCTCTCTATATATATATATAATGTACAATTACATTTTGTCCTCGTAAAGTATTATTGAATTCTCACTTTAACCCTTAAAGTTTATTTTTCCCAATTTGGTCTCTAAACTATCTGATTGTTCCCAATTTGGCTCAATTCTTAACTGTCGTCCAAATTATTAATGTAAATTGTCACATGGCACTGTGGCCCACGTGACATATTAAATAACCATTCGTTTTGGCACATGTCTGATAGCATTAGTGTTACACTTTAGCATTATTATTCATCAATGGTCAAAACTTGCATGAAAATATTTAACTTGTCAAATATCAAGAGCTCTGTGGCAGAGCTTATGATGGGAAGGAAACGAGAACATGGATTCTCACTTTAGCCCTTAAAGTTTATTTTTCCCAATTTGGTCTCTAAACCATCTGATTGTTCCCAATTTGGCTCAATTCTTAACTGTCGTCCAAATTATTGACGTAAATTGTCACATGGCACTGTGGCCCACGTGACATATTAAATAACCATTCGTTTTGGCACATGTCTGATAGCATTAGTGTTACACTTTAGCATTATTATTCATCAATGGTCAAAACTTGCATGAAAATATTTAACTTGTCAAATATCAAGAGCTCTGTGGCAGAGCTTATGATGGGAAGGAAACGAGAACATGGAAAACAAAAGAAGGTTAGGAATACAAGACTGTTTTTGATAGTGCCCTTTCAGGGACACCATTGTAATGAGGTCTACTTAATTAGGTGTATTTTGTATAAACTTTCACTAGAATTTGTCTTATTTATGAGTTTTCCTTATTTGGAATTGCAGGATGCAGTTAAAGGAAAAGCATTAGAGGAAGTCATTGGTGATGTACTGAATGGCAAATGGGACCATGAGAGGACTAAATTTTCGTTGCCTCCATTGATGAATCTTGTAAGTACATTGACATTTACCATACTTGCTACTTCATATGTATTCAAATCCTATTCACTGGCTGACATGGAAATGTTATACGACGGGATACTGTTTTGACAAAATTTCACTTTCCCTCCCTAATATATTTGTTAATCAAAGCTACTTTCTCATCAGGAATTTGCTGGTCAGACTTGAAATGAAACATATCCTTCCATCCTTTTCCTTAACACCATGTGCCTGCCATTTTCAGATTATTCATCTCTGTGTCACATGAAATCCCAATTGTAGTGATATAGTTCTGCAGTTGACTATTTGGCTTTTATATCATTGCAAAGTAATATGAGGTAGAAAAATAATCTTCATTACGTGAAGGTCCCATGCAGTATTGGTGCTTTTATAGGTCCTTGCATTGTTTGTTGCGTAGAATTTGCTCCCAAAAAATTGATTGCATGTGTAAACCATTTTCTCATTTATTGGGTTGGTGAAGTTTATCCCTGTGGTCCATTTGTTGGTAAGCTTCTAGTGGGGTATACCCAAAAATCTTTTTGGGGCCAATGTATTCTTTATTGGCATAGGCCACAGCAGGGTCTTTGGAGTTTGTGCAGTGGCTGGTCTGTTACGATTTGGGTCTGTCTAGCGGATCAGCCTGCGCCTTTGGGTCCTGCCAGGGTCTGTCTGACCTGTAGCAAAATAATCTCAACCAACCAAAGAAAGACGCAAGGCTAATTTTCTATACAATTTTTTTTTTTTTTTTTTTTTTTTCATTTTTGAAAAATGGTCTACACTTGATAAGAGCTGTTTTCTGTTCCCAAGAAACCATGTGAACCCAAGTTTCTGTCATAGTTGCTATTAATGATTGTGATGCTTTTGCAGTTACTAGGAGAACCAGGAACTGGAGGGTCATCCACAGTATCAATGGTGGGTGCTGTCAAGAAGTGGCAAAAATCTGAACCTCAGAAGGCCCTGGAAACTTGGAGAAAGCTGTCAGAGGCAAATTCAGTACTTGAAATGTGCCTCAATATGTTAAGCAAAATGGCAAAAGAACATTGGGATTCATATAAATCCATTATCGGCAACTGCAGCATGCATAAGTCAGAAAAGGTAATTCTGAATATTATACCAGTAGCCTCTAAAGAGGTAAAGGGTATGAAATTTTACTGATGTTGTAACAATTGAGAATTTTTAAAATTTAGAATATTAATGAGAAAAATTATTGCTGGATATCTCAGTAGACCGTGTCATTTGCCACAAGCAGAGTTCACATGATTCCTTTGTATGATTCTGTTTGCTGTGTGAAGAGGTTCATTTCTTCATTAAAGGAAAACTGTAGGTAATATTCATGCTGGCGAAGGAAAAAAAATTAAAATAAAAACAAAAATGTAATGGACATGTCATGAATTATATAGTCCAACTTTGTACTGCAAGCTGCTCACTTGATTTTTTTTTTTTTATACTGGCTATGTTTCAACAAGTATCCTATGTCAATTCAGCAAATAGTTTCACCAACTATCTAGTCTTATCTTGCTAGTAGAGGGAGACACATGAAAAAGTAAAGTAAGTCAGAAAAGGTTGTTCTACCACTGAAACATAGGTAACAACATATCGTCTATTTCATTGTGTTATTATAAGATTAAATGCCACCTATAAAACTATTGGCTATATAATCCATGAGCTTCTGACCATTTACATCGTGCAAACAATATTTTTAGTATCAATTTATTGTAAAAAGAAATTTCATTTTTTTACACATGTAGCTTCAGGTCAGTTTCACTTTGGTTCCTCTCATTTTAGCTTGAGACATGGACTTTGTTCATGTAGTTGAACTCGTTTTTGCCATCTAGAATGCCAAATGTCTTCTCTTGTTTTTTTTTTTTTTTTTCTTTGAACCATGCAGTATTCATCAAAAATATTATAGATGATTTATAAACCCTGGTTGCATGAACAGTGGATGGAGCAAACCAGTAAACCAAGAGAAACAGAAATCGTTAAAGCATTATTAGGAGCAAGAGACTCCATGCTTCAGATCAGGTGTCACATGCGCCTGATGGGTGAGGCTGCAGGCATACCGGTAGGTTCTCTTTACTAGGATGCCATCTTTTTCTTCTTCTCTATACATATAATATATGTTGTGTGCATGGAAATATCCTTTATTTTGTTTATCGAGAAAACCTTTACATATATATTTCCTTTCGTTCTCTATGTAAATTTTGTTTGATTGCTGGATCAATTGGCTGCAATGTGGATCCGTTTTTTATCCCTTATAACTTCTGGCAGGATTTATGCTATAAAGATATTCAGGGGGAAAAGGAAGGTCACCTTTATTTTGTTTTTAAGCCCTTAGAACTCTTTTACGAGAAGGTCACCTAATATTTTTATTATTATTATTGTTTTCACCGTAAACGCTTTAATCCAAGTAAACATCACCAGGATTGAAACATTGTTCATTGTTGTTGCCATTTAATTTTCCAGAATTAGGACAGAGTTTGAGGGCAGCATGTTTCGCTGGAATTTCCTTCTTTCTTTTTCTTTTTATTTCTAGTTTTTATTCAATTCAAACTTAGGACCAATAAAAGCACTAGTGTTTAGTGCACTTGGTTCGAGATTGTCCATTTCAGGGTGATTACACTACAACAAAAAAAATCCCATTTTGGCCACAAAATTTTTGAAATTTTATATTTGAAATATTTGCCTCGTACAGTACCAGAGAATATAATTCTACCAGAGCATGTAAGCTGGATGTTAGACTATGTGTGCATCTACCTTTTCAGATGACAGAAATCTATTCTAAACAAGAATTACAGGGTTAAATCCCTAATAATTTTAATTTTACTATTTATCTTTTTTCTTATTGTGTTAATTGCTACACCAAATGTAATCCCAATATGGTCTTGTGAGTCCAGTACAGGACTGTCCTGTTCTCTGTTTGACTCTGTCCATTTCTTTACAAATTTGCAGATAGAACCTGAATCACAAACTCGGCTTTTGGATGCTACTATGAATATGGAAGGAGTTCTGTTGGCCGGAGTTCCTGGAGCTGGCGGTTTTGATGCTGTTTTTGCAGTCACCTTAGGGAATTCAAGCAGCAACGTCACCAAATCATGGAGTTCACTTAATGTGCTGGCCTTGCTGGTTAGAGAAGATCCTCGTGGTGTTTCTTTAGAAACCACTGATCCGCAAGCCAAGGAAATTACATCAGCGATTTCTTCAGTTCATATCAAATAAGCTGACATCCTCCCTTGTATGTTATTTATAGATTAAAATTACCATTTTAGGTTTAGGTGTGGCAACTGTAATCTGCATGAGTGAGAGAATTCATTCTCCCCCCCCCCCCCCCCCCCCCTTTCTCTCTCTTCTATTATGGAATTATGTTCATGATGATAAACTCAGTGGAGGTTATAGCACTTGCTAAACAATAAATATCCATTCAATATCTGTTGTAATTTCATTGAACATTGTACAATCCAAAGTTATGTGTTATCTGGAAAACCCCAATGCTTTTAATGTTTATTTCGAGCTTCACTGTTGTGCGATGTAATTTTCCCTTCTATTCTTCTATTACTGGTTGTAAATAAAAAAAGAAACTCAAAAAAAAGGTGGGAGAAAAGTAAAATTTCTCAACAAGGATGAGATCAAAAGTCATAAATTCACCAATAGTCCCTACAAGAACAAGATCCATCTTTAAAACGGTGAAACCGATTTCTATCCCTAACAATAATTTCTCGTTCATAGACTGTCGAAATAAATTTAGTGTATGTGTGACAATCACTACACATTCTAATGTTTTTGACTATTCTTACACGAGAGCCCTGAGATGTATGAATGAGTGAAAAAGCAATTGCCAACTTCTGACTATGGCTACTCAGTCTCTGTCTCCTCTCTTCTTCATCTACTCCGAGCAATACTTGTGATGTATCGGGTGAATAGCCTTCAAATCTCAATTGCCATTCCATCTGGTGAATCATCTCATAGATGCCTTGACACTGAGGGTATGACTTGTCTTGTGAAACAAATTTGTACACCTTTCTCTTCACTTCAACCAAGCTAAATCCCGGTATTTGAGTCAAGCCCTTGCTAACCATTTCCTTTCGAATCTTAGCCACTTCATGCCACATTTGAGCTTGTGCATACATATTTGACATCACCACATAATCACTAGCATTGTTCAAGTTTAGTGAGAATAGTTCTCTAGCTGCAATCTTCCCCATTTCCACGTTTTGATGAACCTTGCACGCGCTCAAAAGGGTACGCCACAATATATCGTTTGGTTCCATTGGCATGTTCTTTATGAACTCATAAGCTTCATTGAGCTTCCCAGCTCGACCCAAGAGGTCTACTATGCAACCATAGTGTTGAACTGTTGGTACAATGCCATGCTCTGATTTCATTCTTTCAAAACATTGGAGACCCTCCTCGACAAGGCCAGCGTGGCTGCACGCAATCAACACACCAACATAGACAACATCATCGGGTTCTAACCTTTGTTCGAGCATTTCTGAGAACACCTTCAGGGCTTCCCGACCATGTCCGTGCATGGCAAGCCCTGAGATCATGACACTGTAGGACATTTTGTTCTTCTTGGCCATTCTTTGGAAAAGAAACAACCCTTTGTCTAAAGAACCACATTTCGCAAGCATGTCTATTAGGGTAGTCTCTAGTATAACATTGAGCCCACTCATGTTCCTAATTAAGGACCCCTGTGTGCACCTTCCCAAATCTAGGGCACCCAAATGGGTACAAGCAGAGAGGACATTGACTAACACACTCTCCTCAACCCTCCAACAACCCTCTCTGCTCATCTCCCCAAAAATCTCAAGGCACTCACACCACAACCCCAAGTTAGCATGGGCTGCAATAAGGGCACTCCATGAAGCAACAGTTCTTTGCTCCATCTTCTCAAAAACAGCACAAGAGAGACCTATCTCTCCACACTTTCCATACATGTTGATCAAGCTGTTCTGCACAAACACATCATCCTCAAACCCTAGTTTAAAACTATGGCCATGGATTTGCATTCCTTCTTCGAGTGCCGGCAAATTAGCACATGCTTTGAGAAGAGTTGGGTAAGTGAAATTGTCAGGTTCTACCCCTAACTCAAGCATTTCATCATACATAAGTAAGGCTTCTTCTAGGTTCATGTCCTTCACATGTCCCCTGATCATGTGATTGAATGCAAATGAACCCGGTTCGTTGATTTGTTGAAAAATTGAGCTTGCATAGTCCATACTGCCCCAATCTGAAAGAGCACAAGTGGCAACAAGATTGTTTGCACAGAAAGAACTCCAAAACATGCCAAACTTGAGGATTTGGGCATGGGCTTGCTTGAATTCTTCCAAGTTCTTGCATTGCTTGATGAGGGAGACACATACTTGTTCCCTCAACCTGAAATTGGATTCTGGGCCTTGTGGGTGATCTTCTTGAGGTATCAAGAAATGGGTTTGATGGACTGATGTCCTAATGATCATCCTGTGGACTACACCATGGGATAGGAATCTAAAATGCCTAACTTTGCAAAGCTCAAAGAATTACAGACCAATATATATTGGATTTCACTGATAGTAGTATGTATACAAGTTGGTGCTACTATGACATGGTTTGAACCCTTTCCATGGTACTGACTGGTTTGCTAAAATAGAGTGTGTTGTAGAGTTGGTTAGAGGGGATTTTTGAATCTCATCCATGAGATTTAGGAAGCAAATTTCAGCCAGTGAAAGAGTAAATTAGTTATGGGACATGTGGATACTAGATAGGAATAGGATAATGTTTTTTTCTCAAAAGGTGAATGGGTCCACAAGATAGCTCCATACCACTCATATTGTAGTCTTACATGATTCTACCCAATGTTAGTGGTTAGATGGTTGATAGATTAACCATTGAAATTGTAGAAGGGTAGGGTGAAATGGGATGTTCCTAAGAAGTTTGGGCAAATTGAAGGTGATAGATGTAATTTCAACTTTTGTTAAAGTGAAGTATAAGTATGGGCTCATTTGTTCTTAAATTTATCTATTCCTATGTCATAATGCACTATCAATTATTAAATTATGTGAAAATTTTAAAACATGTGAATGTGGAGATATAATATGATGAATGAGAGTATATTAGAATATTGAATAAAAAAATTTAAAGAGAGACAATTTTTTGTCGTAAAACAAAATAAATTTTAATATTTAATTTACGTCAACCTAGAGGTTGCAATATGGTGAAGAGATGGAGATAACTTTTTTCATTTTTCATATTTTTTTGGGAAAGAACTAAACAACCAATGTAGTAGGCAATAGGTGGCTGGCTCAAATAGCGTCACACTTTGTGTGGGTTGGGCTTTTTCCAACTCAAGGCCAAGCCAAGTAATTGGTCCTTGGGCGTTTTCCGTGTACGGGGATTTGGAAAGTCAGAGCCTACCATCGTTGGGCTTGGGCTTGTCACATTTCATGTGTTACTTTTCTTTTTTTTTTTTTGGTATATCGGAAAAAAATTTCATGTGTTATGCTTAAGAACTGATAAAAGTGCTTTTTTGTAGGCTTATTTGGGAAGTTGGCTATTTTAGTTAACTATTTGGCTTTTTGACGGCTTGGTTTGGAAATATATTATTTTAGTAATTTTTTAACTTTATACGAAAAGATGTGTAGAAAAGTAGAGAGAATGATGTAACAACTTATAGTGACTTTTTTATTAAAACTTTAAAAGTTGCCAAACTGTGTTTGGGAAGTTAGTTAGTTTTTTGTGTAGTTGATTTGATGTTGTGAGAGAAAAAAATAAAATAATTATGGATTGAATGTACATTTTGTCTTATTAATTATTTTAACATGTTGTATATTTTAATGAGTTATTTTAGTCCAACTTTCTTCCCAAACACCATTGTATGTCAATTGTCAAATATATGCTTTTCATACTATAGTTGTATTGTATAGTATTCTTAAATACTATAAATGAGATAAGATAACATATCTTTTAATGGAAATTACTACATAAATATAAAATTTTAAAAATTTTACAAATCAATGGAAGTGCTAGTGAGAATGTCTCACTTACACTATTAAAAAAATTTTTTTTTTTCTTCATTTCTCTTTTATCTTATAATAACTTATCTTTTAAGGGCTAAAATGTCAATCTTCATGTTTATTATACTTTATCCATATGTAATTATTTGACCATTGAACAAATGCTTCTTTTTTTTCTTTTTTCTTTTGTTTTTTTGCTCTTTGTCATTCGAAGTCTTAGTCCATCCATATTTTTATTCCATGCAATATCCTCTAATATGCTTTAGATGTTGATTATTGTTCTAAACATAATTAAAAAATAAATAAAAAAAAATTGTGGCAAAGTAATTGTGTTACCCAAGAAAAGCAATGTTCTTAGATGCTATGTGGATTAGATTGTAATTTACAAACAAACTCAACATTATCACGTAGTAGCATAGGGAGCCTCTATTTGCACACCACAAAAACTCTCATCCTACACCAATTTTCAATTTTTTTTTAATTACGAATTTGCCACTCAAGAAATTTACCAAAGAGGACAAATATTCATCCATTCAAACCCTAGTCGATGCCTGCGCCGACTATGCCATCTCCAACCCCTCGCAGCACCTCCCCAGTGTAGCCCTTATCCCTCACCACCGCCAACCTCCAACCACCACCACAACCCCCTTCTCTAGCCACCGGTGACTCTGAACAACCTTACTCTCCATTCGCCATTGCTAACAGCCTCGCCTCTACCCTCGCCGTCGCAGTCAACCCCGTCGCCTAGATCCGCCATTGCGATCCATTTCTAGCTCCATCTCAAGCCTTCATCCACTGCAGAGAGAGACAAAGACAGATCGCGAGAGAGAGATCGTGATTGAGAGGTGGCGGTGGTGGCAGTGGACGCTAGGGGTTTTGAGACGAGGGGAGAAGAGCTGGGGAGAGAGAAGCGGCAGGGGGAAGGGGAGAGTGGTTGGAGAGAGGGTGGTGGCAGGAGAAGGGGGTAATCGACGCTAGTTAGGGTTAGGGTTAGGGTTAGGACTTCGGTGTCGGAGCCGGCGATGGAAGCGGCGACAGTGACAATGATTTGGGGTTAGGGTTGATGAAGGTATTTTAGGAATTTGGTGGTGTGAATTGAGAGAAAAATATTTTAAAAAAATGTGTGTGGTGTGAACTAAGTAATGGTGTGGGATGAGAGTTTTGGTGGTGTGCAAATAGAGGCTCCGAGCAGCATAACCTTTCATTTTTGTAAGACTATCTACAATTATTATTTAGGTTTCAATGCATCAAATTTTGTTTTGTATATAGGAAAAGAGATTGTTTGCCTAGTACTAAAAAATATATTTTTTAAATCACATTACCTTTTTTATATTTTTATAAAAATAGTAAATTATAAATACATTTTTTGAGATTTGCTTAAAATACAGATTGCATCATGTGATTTGAAAAATTACAAATACCCCCTTATGAGAGTATTTTATTTAACAGAATTAACTAAAAAAATGAAATTCATAATTCTTCTCTTATACAATAATAAAATTACATAAATTATTAATTGAAATATATTTTTAACATAATTAAAAACTATTAATTGACTTGATGATTTATTAATAAGATGGACGATTTGTTATGAAATTAGAAATCTCAAGAAATGGAATGTAATTTTTAAAATTACAGGGAGCGATTCGTATTTTAATCAAATCTCATAAGGTGTATTTATAATTTACCCTCATAAAAAAGTTAAAAAAACATACTAATCCAATACATCGCAAACAATCCCTAACTAAGCGACATACTTTTTGACTAAAGAATTTCTTTTCTTACTGTTTTATTGTACTCCCTCCGTCCCAAAATAATGGTCCCTTTTGGGGAATCTAACTTTTTTTGATAGTACAATTATTACATTTGAAAAAGTTTATTTTCCAAAATTACCCTTTTGATAGTACATTTTTTGAGAATATCAATGTCATGATTGTACTTTTTATATTGTTTATTAATTTAAAAGAAGGGCAAAATAGGAAATTTACATTATTTTTGTACTTGATTTTTGAAGAGGGACTAATATTTTGGGACAATAAAAAATAGAATAAGGACTAATATTTTGGGACGGATGGAGTATATTTTTTAAGACTCCCACCAATTTATTATATGTACTTGAACGTGATATTAGAGAACTTCTTTTATGCATACTATTATAAATTTTATACTTTTGAATTTTAATAAAACATACTTCCTTGTAAAAAAAATTTTAAAAAAAACATTGTTTACCAATGAAACTTTCAAATGTGAATGTATTCCATCTTCTCCCTCTCGAATTCATGTATTTCTTTTAGATTGCAAGTTTAATTTTTTGGGTGGAAAATTTATAATTATTAGTTGTTTGAATTTTTTTTTCTTCTTTTTAAGATTGTTTAGTTGTCTGAACTTTGATATTCCTTTTCAATTGGTTTTAATTTTACATTTTTAAAAAGAAAAATGATAAAAATTCTAAAATTGTTATTTTGCATCATGTTCATTTTCTAATACGATTGAGTTTTGGAAAAGAAAAAGAAAAAACTTTTTGACTAAATAAGTGTACTTTTTTACTTTTTTTGTATTATGTGTAGAAAAAGTAGAGAGGAGATGTTGATTGATGTGACTCAAAAAAGATAAGATTAAATAAGTGTACTTTTTTAGGTTAACCAAACTTGGCCTTAGTAACATATTGTGAAAAAACATCATGCTTTGTATTTAGGCCAAGTTTGGCTAACCTAAAAAAGTGCACTTATTTCATTTTTTTATCTTTTTTGGGTCACATCAATCAACATCTCATCTCTACTTTTTCTACATATAATACAAAAAAAATCAAAAAATACACTTATTTAGTCTTCTCGCACTTGGCCTTAGTTTCATTTTTAACATCTTGAAAGGTATATATAACAATTTTTCAGAAACAATACCAAAATATAACAAGTTTATTCCATTTCCGCTAATTATTTTTTGGAAGCAAACTAGTGTGGTTGGTGTGCACCTTTTTGTCTTCATTGTGATGCTTTGCCAAAATAGCAAACTTAGCCATGGCAGTGGAATCGGTTTACCAAAACCAGCATGAAATGTGCTAAAAATCTTGGGAAAGATTTTTTTTGATTTTTTTTCATTAAAAGATAAATTGGTTACAAAACCAAAAAAAAAAAATTCAAACAAAATATTAAATCAAATTTCATAATTATTTCATTTTTTCTTTCACAAACATCACATCCAACCACAAAAAAACTCAATCAATGTGTTTGGTTTGAGTATTTTGGATTAAATTTTTTGAAAACTAAATTTTTTAGTTTTGTATTTTTTTGTTTTTAGTGAATATTTTAAAATTTTTAAATTTTTTTTTTTACTTTTTTAGATGCACCTTACTTAGATGTATCTAAAAAGTAAAAAAATTGAAAAAAAATATTTTTAAAAATTAATAAATACATAAAAATACAAAAAATGTACTGAATTTTTGTATTTTTTTGTATTTTTGATATTTAGTGAATTTTTAAAAGATTTTTGTTACAATTTTTTTTACTTTTTAGGTGTATTTATGTTAGGTGTGTCTAAAAAGTAAAAAAATTGCTTAAAATATTAAAAAAAATTAAGTAAAAACAAAAAAACATGAAAAATAAGAAAGTAAAATTTTCTGAAAAGTATTTTTTGAAAAATAAAAACAAGCAATTATCTTCTCAAATATAAAAAAAAATCTCTCCAATAATATCCCATGACTAAAAAATCTTACAAAAAAAATC